AAGATTTATTTGAAAGGCAGAGTTACAGAGAGAGGGGAGGACAACTCTTCCATCCACTGATGTACTCCCAAAATAGCTGCAAAAGTCATGGCTTAGCCATGCCAACGCAGGAACCTGGAACTCCGTCTACGTGTCCTACCTGAGTGGCAGGAACCCAAGTACTTGGGCAGTCCTCCTCTGGCTTCCCAGGCACATTAGCAGGGAGCTAGATTAGAAGTGTAGGAGCCAGTTCTCAAACCAGAGCTCCTACAGGATGCCCGCATCACAGGCTGCACCACAAGGCTGGCATAAAGAGATTTTTAAGGTAACTTACATTAGCCTATTTATTACTTACCCAGTAGTCTCTCCATGTATGTTCCCCTAACTTGGGAGTATTATTTTCAGAGAGGAAGTATTACTGGCTTACAGAGCAGTGATAGTGTTTTTCTTTTAAACCTGCTGTCAAATCAAGAAAACTATCCCGTTGTTCTTCCAGCCCTGGTTTCCTCAGGTTTGTGAGGGTTCTGTGTGGCATGTCTTCAGATGAAAGGAAAGCATTCCTGCAGTTTACCACAGGTTGTTCAACTCTGCCCCCCGGTGGACTGGCTAACCTGCATCCCAGGCTCACAGTTGTACGCAAGGTACAGACTCTCGCTAATGGAGACTTTGAATGGAATGTGGTTACTTGAGGGTCGAAGGAAATAATAAACTTGGATCTTCTGTTCTTTTCACCTTGTTTCCGTAGGTTGATGCTACTGATGCAAGCTATCCGTCAGTAAATACATGTGTGCATTATCTTAAGTTGCCTGAATATTCTTCCGAGGAGATCATGAGGGAACGCTTACTAGCTGCTACAATGGAGAAAGGCTTTCATCTCAATTGAGCTTTGAAGTGCAATGGGCGACATCAGAAACTTTTAAAATACTAGTGAAGCCTCTTGTGTTTGTGTGCAGAGAAGTGTATGATCCTCCACGCTAATGATACTTGCCTTTTTCCACCATTAAGGCTTTAAGAACATGTGGAATAAGTTTGTTAGCTGCTAATGACAAAACAAATCCCTTAACTCCCCAGCCAGCAAGCATATAGCACAGAACACTGTGTTGCTTTCCAAGGGCTTACGTGACTGGAATAAGGTGGTCCGACGTGACTGTTCCAAAGAGCAGCTCCTCAGATCTTCAGTGTTCACTGGGAAATTTCTAACAGTGTATTTGTGTCAAGTTTGTCATTTCATACTCCAAACACTACAGTTGACATCACTGATACCTGTTTTGCTGGCTTTTAAGCTACTTGGTCAAAAATTCTTCCTTAAAACATAGAGGGTTATTGAGCATCTCAAGCTTTTTCTTTTCCTTTTAATGATGCCTGCACTATCAGAATATTCTAGTGTTCTCTCTTTTGTTTGGCATATAATCATGCACAACCTTTTTATTTCTTTGAGGTGGGAGTACATTTTTATTTCCTAAATGCCATACTATAAAGATCAAATTCTTAAGTGTGTTTGTGCAGCTTGAAAATAAAGGTATATTAAGGGGCGGGGGTGGGAAACACTGGTCTAGGTGCAAGGCACACTTAAAGCGAGTTTTACTTTGGGTTGTATTTTCTTTGTATATTATAAACATTTATTTAACTTGTTGCAGTTTGAAGTAAAAAAATTTCCAAAATGTATGCTCAACAATAATCATTAAAATGTTTGCAGCGTACAAAACTGTGTCATGTGACTATTTGACTGCAGTCATCAGACCTAAGAGCTTAAGCAGACACTTGTCATTTTGAATCATTCAAATTTAGTTTTCTAAAATCACTACATGAAGAAGTATATTTTTCTATAGTAAATAAATAGTATTCTACCTGAAATTGGAAGCCTCAGACTTAACTGTGATCCAGCTATGAGCTCTATCTTTAAGGTGGTCTTGAGTTAGAAATGACCAGTTATTTGTAACTTTTTAGCAGACTGCTGCTTACCATTTTTTTCTGCAGGGATGTGTTAAGTCTGAAGTCTAAGAGTGATTTTTAAATATTGTGTTAGTGTGAAACGAAACTACTGGGATACTGCTATCTCCTGGTTTTGAAGAAGGACTGTATTTCCATTTTTGAATTCCTGTTATTACCACATCTGTGCATATAGGAGAAAGAAATTGTTACTAGGACTAATTTGTCCAATTGGCTTTTTTTAAGGATCCAGAAGCATGTTGAAATTACCCAATACTTACCCATGTAAAAGGCACATTCCCTCTCCGTGGTAGGAGCGATGTCTCCCACTGTGGTCGATGACTTGAGTAGTTATCTCAGTCGTGGGGGAGTGGTTGCAGGGCCCCCTCTGGATGGATGCCTAAGTCCTGTATGTAAAATGCTGTAGTATCTGCTTACAGTCTATGCACATCCTCCCAAATACTTGATTAAATCATCTCTAGGTTGCTTATAATCCCTAATACAACATAAGTGTTGTATTACCGAGGAAGTAATGACAAGGAAAAAAGTCTCTACATGTTAAGAGTAAGGGCAGTTTTTTTCTTCAAATAATTTTTGTCCATAGTTGGTACTTGAAGATACAGATGACTGACTGAATTATTTGTATTTGCTGCATGAGAATGTTGTGATTGTATAATCAGAGGCAGCATTTAAATTCTTTACCTTATTGTCAGCTTCACAGTTCTCTGTGAGAATAAAAATTAAAATAAACCATAAAAGCAATATTTAAATGTATGACCTATGTTTCAATCCAAAAAATAGTGGTGGTGGTGGTGGTGGTGGTTCTGATAAAGTCATGAATACACAAGGAAAACTATATATTAATGTTAGAATTAAAATCCAGTTTAGGTGCTGGCATTGTGGCACAGCAAGTTAACCTGCTGCTTGCAATACCTGCATCCCATTTTGGAGTGCAGGTTTGAGTTCTGGCTGCTCTGCTAAAGTGCCTGGGAAAGAAGTAGAGGATGGCCCAAGACCTTGGGCCCCTGCCACCCACGTAGAAGCCCAGGATGGAGTTCATGGCCCCAGGCTTCAACTTGGCCCAGTCCTAGCCATTGTGGCCATTTGAGGAGTAAACCAGTGGATCAAGATATTCTCTCTCTCTCTCTCTCTCTCTCTCTTTTTCTCTCTTTCCCCCCTCCCTCTCCCTCCCTCTCTGCCTCTCTTTTAAATAAATAAATCGATTTAAAATTTTTTTAAAAATTCAGTTTATGTGTTTAGTGTTGCCATTATTTAAGCCTCTCAGATGTCTGACAGTAGTCAGCTTTAACCAAGACTAGCCTAACACAGAGGCTGGCCAACTATGGCTGCCTGTTTTTGTATCATGCATAAGCTAAGCATGGTTTTAAATAATTTAAAATTTTTTTCAAAAATATGAAAATTATATGAAATTTAAATTTCAGCATCCATGGGTAAAGTCTGATTAGAACACAGCCATGCTCATCCATTTACATGCTATTTATGATTGCTTCCACAGTACAATGGCAGGATTGAATTGTCAGCAGAGACTGTATGTCTCACAAATACTTGGGATCTGGCATTTTACAAAAAAAGTTTGCTGAGCTCTGGTCTAGCAAATTGCAGTAGCTGTAATTTGATCTGTCTTATAAAATTATTAGCTTTGAAATGTTAGGAGTATTTCTCAGAAGCAGCCCAAAAACAAGGCAAGGCTGACCAACCCAAGACAGACCTCTTGAGTATGAAAAAAATTGCTGAAGTGAGATGATGACAGCTTGCATGCACAGTCACGTGACAGTTCACTCCGTATGAGTCAAATATTGGGGGTCTCCAAATATACTGTCAAGTGTTTTAGTGTTTTTTCCTGTGATACCTACTGTTTTTTTAAAGTTCTCTCAAGGTACTAAAATCTGTGCCAAGATGTAATTCAACTACTATTTTGGTGTGACCCCAAAATTAATTTTGTTCACTCCCTAGCTACTTCTGGTGTACCAGTTTTAACAGTTACCTGAATGTGCTACTGATTAAATGCTGTCAACTAGGACAGTGTTTTCCAACCAGTGTGTTTCCAAAAGACCTCCAAAGTACTTTGATCTACACTGGGCTTTCCCTAGACCCTGACTACTTAGCACAAAAGTGGATTTATACACACATACCACTTACTTTCCACTTCAGAAGCCTTGCTTCTGCCTTCTAGAATGTGTCAGACCTGCTCAAGTTTGGTTTTGTAATCCACTACTGACCAACAAAAGAAAGTCACCCACCCCCAACACAGCACACACACACACAAGAGGAAAAAACACCATGGTACTGAAGAGTCAGTTCCTAGTCCACTTACATTCTCTTGGAGGACACTGTTGCAGTTGAAAGAACTCTTGGGACACTCCATAGATGGCAGATGTCTTAATGTGACATTATCTCTCTTTCCTTCTTTCTAACTGTCCTCCAACCCTTGGTTGCAAGATAGGTGCTGTTATACCAAGACTGTGCTGTGATCCTGCTGAGTGAACAGCAGAAACATCCGGAAAGCTTTCAGGGAGCAGGGCACTGCTCTTCTGCAGTGAGCTGGTGGGTGGTTTGCTTCAGGTCATTTCAGGAGGTGTTAAAAGAGTAAGGGTCAGGATGGACAGGATTCCTTTCATGCCAACCTGAACATAGATAATTTTTATTTCTAAACTTCAGGCTGAATTAAATGTCGTGAACAAATTTACTTATAAGGTTTAGCCTTTAAAATGTTATAAAAAAGGATACTTTTAAGGACTTAATGTTTATTATTTGAGAGCAACATCCTCTATAGAGTTAATTACATGCTGGCATTACAATTGCTAAGTGCCCTTAAAATAGGTACCAAAGGCTTTTAGAAACTGGAAAGTAAAATTTCACTCTTAAGTCTTCATTAGGTACTTGTTATAGTAAAGCCTTTTGAGAGTTTTACTAAGACTTTATTGAGGAAAATCATTGAGAAACAATGTTATTCAAAGTGCCTTGTGTGTTTAAATCAATTTCTGAAATTGATCCACAACTGCTATACTTTCTTCCTATGTGCCTGCTCATCCTGAATTTAATTGGCAAAAAGAAGCAGAGACCAAATAGGATTCCTTAGGTACTCAACAAAATTTAAAGAAGCCGGGGAAGTGCGCTTACAGTTAGAAAAGAACAGTCTCTCAATTTAGAGAAAATTTTTACATACTTTAAAATACAGTTTTGTTTTCCACTAAGGAACTGTGGAACACTCCTATTTATAGAGCCTTTGGAAGAATACCCCATTTTGTAGTGTGTGGTCTGGCAGATTTCTTTTGGGCCACAGATGCTGAGATGTGTTCCATGGTGTTCATACTTCTTCCATAAATCCAGCAGAGCCTTCCGTTCAGCTTTCGGACATCTTATCAAGAATTAGTAGAGGGGCAAGAATTCTTGTACGATTAGTTTCCACAATGCAGCCATTTAACACCATCTCATCCAGAATGATGTGTACTTTATCCAAATTAAACATTATCTAGGGTCATATTAAGGAAAATCAATTTTACAGTTAGGAAAAATGCTAACATGCAGTAAACAACTTCTGGGTTAGCACAGAATTTTCTTTTTAAGCAGGTGTTCTGTATAGAATTCTTGACATTAAGTTAAAAATTGGTATCCTTGTTTAGAAATTCCTTCCTTCCTATACACATACAATCTACTTTGATTTTAGTTTTAACATGATGAGCAGGCATAGAAATGAAACAGCTATATTTTCAGGAAAGGGGAGAAGGGAGTCTTTAAAGAACTGGAGAACAAAGAAAGTGCCATTTAGCAAGAGAGTGACCCAACCTCGAGGACAATAGCGTTTGACCTAGTGTCCCACATCAGAGTCCTGGGTTTACTGTCCAGCTCTGGACTCAGCTTCCTGTCAGTGCAGGCCCTGGGAGGCAGCCTAGAGGCTTCTTGATTGGATTCCTGCCACCCACATGGGAGACCCAGATTGAGTTCCTGGCTGGCTTCAGCCCCAGCCTGGAGCTGTTAGAGGAATGTGAGGGGTAAGGCAACAGATGGGAGCTCATGTGCCCTCAAGCTTGCTTTCTCCCTGCCACCAGCCTGTCAAATAAAAATTATAAAAATATTCAAAAATAAATGAAGAAAACAAGGCCTGCTGAGTCAATACCCAACTAAATAAAAATTTCAAGAGTACCTCTTACAAATGGACAGCTCTAAAAATTCATTTGCAAGTTAGGGAAAGCCACTTTTCTGCTATTCTTACTAGAAAATCAGTAGAGGGCATGAGGAGGAGAAGAAACTATTGTTAGACTATGATGCCTAGCAAACTAGAGCAAATGCTTCCCTCAAGAACCCCTTCGTTTTACCATTGAACTTTTGTGAAAGGAGAAGGGGAACTGGAATGAAATGACAGCAGTTGATTTTTTTTTCCCCCAAAGATTCATTCATTCACTTGAAAGGCAGAACGGCAAAAAGAGAGAAGGAGAGACAGAGTCTTCCATCCACTGGTTCATTCCCCAAATGGTCTCAATGACTGAGGCTGCCTGGACCAGGCTGGAGCCAGGAGCCAGGAGCTTCCTTTAGGTCTCCCAGGGGCACTACCAGGGAGCTGGATCAGAAGTGGGGCAGCTGGGAAATGAACCGGCGCCCACATGGGATGTTGGCATCAAAGGCCACGGCTTTAACCCATTGTGCCATAGTGCTGCCCCCTAGTTGAATATTTAAATTCTACATTTTAATATTGGAAGTTTCCTTCTGAATGTGCAGAGCTTGAGTCCTGGTCTATCTGACAAAATGGCTATTGAGATTCTTTTCAAATGGGACAAGCTTCACTCAGCAAATAGGTGTCTAAATGTACTAAGGGCGTTCATGATGAGTGACTATAAAATAATTGTTATCACCTGATTTTTCCTCCCAACAATTCCAGGTACTCCAAAGTCTGTATTTGCTTAGTGACGTGCATGTATAGAGACTGGGACAACCTGTGAGTGACTTTTAAGTTTCCATCAGGCTCTGCGTTAACATCTCATTAAGCGCTGTGCAAACGGTCCTGCAGCAGAAGAAACTGTTTTTGCAGGGGCCAATGGGAACTGTCCTCAAGTGACCCAGAAACGAAAAGCTTTAATCTAACATACCTATTAATAATGGCTCTCAATTATACAGATGATTGCCTTGTCCCATGGCCAAACTGGAACTGGAGTGAATGCTAGGCCCTGGACTCAAACCAGAAGCCAGAGAACCTAGAGCTGAGACCAAGTGGCAGGGCAGCCAGGCTCACAGGAGCACAGGTGGCTGCGGGAACAGTGATCTGCAGAGCCCCTCCTGTCGTGTTCTCCACGGGCAGGGAAAGCCTTACTGCCGTCGGAAACGTCGACTCCTCTAGGAAGAAAGCTAACTTTTGTCTGTGAATTGGTTCAGGGACCAAGGCGCTCTGAGGACTGCTCCATCTGGCAAGTAGACAATCTGAGGTTCAGATGTCCCTTTGAGCAGCTGCACGATTGTTCTGAAATTCAGATCAGAATTTACTGCTGAATCATATCAACCACAGACATCCCCATCGCAAGGGCAAGTTCCCCCAGCATGTCCGAATTCCCCAGCGTCCCGGAAACATGAGTTGCCCAGTGAGGTCATTCTGTACCCTGGGCGTGTGACTGCTTGCATCTGTGTATCTGGCTCAAACCCTAATAATCGTGCAGCTCTCTGGCACTATTTGGGGAAACCACAGGCAACATCCAGGATGAGACAAAGACCTAAAAGCAGATTTCCATGAAAGCAATCATGGAACCCCTTTGAAATAAGAGTCTAGCTGTTCACAGCTTGATTTGGTTTTGGGGCAACTTGGGCACACTTGGTGAAGCCACGAGTAATGGCATTTGGGACATATGCCAGGTGAACAGGGACCAAAAATACACCTTAACATGCCAAGCCTCATGCCACGAAAGGCAAACACTTCAGCCTGATGCTTGGAACAGGAGGAAGCAAGAAAGGCCCGGATGGTGGGTCTGTTAAGGCAGTGAGCTGAGAAATGGCTACTTGAAAGGGGCTCTCCTTCAGCTACATTGAACTCGACTGACTGCGAAAGATCTTTAGTGCAAGCTGTTGGCCCTCCTATGACTTTATAGTCAGGAACTAGCAAGAACCTCCCAAACAGCAGAGCCCTGCTTTCTCTCAACCTTGAAACCGGAGAGCCTTTCTGAATTTCCACGTAATGTAGTTTGGAGCTGAACTTCAAAAAGCCCCTGGAATGGTAGTGCTACCTGAAAGCAATTTTTTTTTTAAGTGATTTAAATATTTATGAGTTGTGCATTGAAAATCTGACCTCTAGATTTTAAAACACTTTCCAATGCAGTATTTTAACACCACTCTGGTAGTCTAGTTATCCTGTAATCCAAGAAACATGGGGCAGCACAGTTAAAATGAAATCTTAAAATAATTCCAGAGCAAAGCTCAGTCCAGAAAATAAAATCTCTAACTCCAGACTTTTGTCAGATCTGTTGGCTTCTCATTTTAAAAAGATTCTAGGTAGCATTGTAGCACTGTGGGTAAAGCCATTGCCTGTGATGCTGCCATCCCATATGGGCACCGTTGTGAGTCCCAGCTGCTGCACTTCTGATCCAGCTCCCTGCTAGAGTGCCTGGGAAAACAGTGGAAGATGGCCCAAGTGTTTGGACCCCTGCACCCATGTGGGAGACCTGGAAGAAGTTCCTGGCTCCTGGCTTCGGATCGGCCCAGCTTCAGCCATTACGGCCATTTGGGGAGTGAACCAGTGGACTGAAGATCTGTGTGATTTCTGCCTTTTCTCTGTGTAACTCTGCCTTTCAAATAAATAAACAAATCTTTTAAGAAAAAAAAAAGACACACGTGTTAAGGAAATGATGAGTGGCTAAGGCTAGTGGCAACAAAGGTGTCTGCGACAGTGACACCCCTTTTCCAGGGGGGACAGCAGACTCCAGGGGACTGCTCACGCCTCAGACGCAGCACTGGCTGGGGAAGGTCCTGGTCCCCCGTCCCTCAGGACCCACACTTCCCAGAGATGCCCGCCCACACACATCCCCTCAAGCCAGGAGCCAACGCTCACTCCCTTGCAGCCCGGCTGCCAATTTACATGGTTCCCAGACAAACAAGTGATATGTGGATATGTTCCCTGAACAAGGCACCCACAGGTTCCCCCCTCAGCGGTTTTCCTCCTTTCTGACTCCCCGAATGATGGGTGACTAGCTCAAAGTACTTCTGTCACTCATGAAAAAGCTCTCACAGCAGCGAGACACCGCACCCAGAGGCACTGCAGAAATGTGTCGCCAGCAGCTGAGTGCCTGCTACTTGCACGATTGCTCTAAGGTGTGTCCAGTGCAGTCGACCTAATGTCTGACCCTGGCAGCCGCGGGACCAGAGCCTGCGGTGCCTCCCGGGAACTGTGGACTGGGACACGCCCCAGCACCGCTCAGGGGCCTTGTCCTCTTCCTCTAAAAAGCGAGGTCTGAACCTGCTAATTGGGTTTCTTCCGCCTCCACAGTAGTCTGCCCCCAAGACTATATGTTAACCTCCCGGGAGTGGGGAGTGGCTTATGCTGCTGGTGAAACCCAGCCATTCCTGCCCCCTCACACCTCAGAGGAGACCTTTTTGTAATGACGTCACTAACGATCTCTGTAACTTTCTGAGAAACCATGCAGAAAAATTTCAACTCGGTTAGGTCTGCCTCTTCAGTGCTGCGCTCCCCCCCCCCGCCCCCCCGCCCAGGTCCCACCCTCGAAATCTTTGTTCTTCTGTAGTTTACCTCAGGCTGAAACTGCCTGCGACTGGGAGAAGCCCTAGTCTTGTTTATGGGCCTCTGAGAAAGATTTGGGATTTAGCAGGTAATGAAGGAACCGGAGGTAGGGGACTCTTGGTGGCTCGGGGTCCGGACCTGGGCCTGACTGCAAATTAGTGGGCTAACGAGTGTCACCTGCATGCTGTCACCCTCCAGGGAGCCCCTTTCTCCTGCCCACCCTCGGCTGCAACAGCACCCATGAATCCATGTTGTCGCATCACCCACATGCATTTTAGGGTTCCAGAATCAATCACTCAGGCTTTCAAGCATTTATAAAATAAAAACATGAAGGTACAGGGGGTGAAGCCATTGCCTGCAATGCCAGCATCCTGTATGAGTGCCAGTTTGAGTTCCAGTCACTTCACTCCCGATCCAGCTCCCTGCTCGTGTGCCTGGGAAAGCACCAGAGGACGGCCCAAGTGCTTGAGCCCATCACCCACGTGGGAGGTCTGGACGGAACTCTTGGCTCCTGGCTTCGGCCTGGCCCAGCCCTGGCCATTATGGCCATTCGTGGAGTGAACCAGCAGATGGAAGCTCGCTCTCTCTCTCTCTCCCTCCCTCCCTCTCTCTCTGTAACTATGCCTTTCAAATAAATAAATACTGAAAAAATAAAGACAGGAATGTTCTAGAGATGTTTTTAAATGCAGAAAAAACCATTCTGGATTCCAGGACTAAACTCGAAATACGCGTGGGGAGACCACAAGGGCAAACGGGGGCTGTAGTCTGCTTCCTGCTTCTCTTCCCTTTATGCACGTGGGGCACCCCAGCCACCAAAGCCACCTGCCTGTCATTCCTGCTGCCAGGCCTCAGTGGGAGTGGCTGAGGGGCCTGCCCAGGCCCTCACAGCAGGCTCTGGGATGTCTGAGGCCTGTGAGTTCTGAGCGCCCAGGAAGTGGATGAGGAGTGCCCGCCGGCTCCAGCCTGGTGTCCTGGTCCCAAGGACTGGGAGGTTGTTGCCAAAGCAGAGCCAGAGCGGGGGCCCCTCACGGACAGGGCCCAGGGTTATCCGGGTCTAACGGCGGCAGCATGGCTGCCACAATGAACCAAGTCTTAAGGCTTGTTAAAAGGCCCCGCACCGAAAAGGGATTTCTGGCCCTCGGCCCCTGCAGTAATGATGCGCGCGGAACTGAGGACCGGGTCCATTGCCCACACAGTGCTGCTCCCTGGTGCCATCCTCTGAACGAGGAACTCTAGAGAATAGCAGGCCTGCTGTGGCTCCCGTGGCAGAGCCCGCTTCCGGAAGCTCATCGCTTGGTTCCAAAAATAACCACCTTCGTGGAATGTGGAGTCTTAAGTCTACCAGGATGCGGGATGCGGCAAATTTGGCCTTGGGAGAGACCTCGGGCAACACCTGAGCCCACTGCCGGGGTCGGGGGCTGTGCAGAGTGTACTGGAGCTTGCCCACAGCATGAGGCTGATTTAGGTCAGTGGCGTGCTGGGCCCCCAGGGGGAAGCCTGCCCCACCTCCGGCTGCACCAGAGGGTTTCCACTTACTGGAAGGGTTTCAACAAGCCGGGACGGCTGTCCTGATTTCTGGTGCTTAGGTCATTTCTGCTTCAAATCCCATCTGTCTTGCTCTGTGATGGTACCCTGAGTGCAAGTAGAACAAGTCCACAACAGGGCGTGATGTAAATGGTGCACTTCTCGGAGTCGAATCACGAAGCCTCTGCAAAACCTTCCTATCCTTAGAAGGCATGTGGGCTGGGGCCTGCAAAGCTTCTGCAGGAAAAAGAGGACAAGTAGGGGCTCCTTGGGGGTTTCATGGAGCTTTGCTGTCTTTCTCCCGTGTGTGCCCACACCAAGCCTTCTCTCGGGTCTGCTCCAAGGGGGCTGACAAGGCTTCCTTAAACCTGAGCACACACGAGGAGACTGTGTGCTGAGTGGTGGAGAACCAGCTCGGCTGGTGACTGATCACAGCACGTGCTCGTTTTCAACCGCTCAGGGCCTAAGGAAGCTTTCCTGGTCAAGCCGACTAATAGCAACGCCAGGCATTGCAGTGATGCGGAGTGCGGGAGGGTGCGGGTGCCTGGGGCTGAGCCTCCACAGGGCTCCTTTGTCTTTCGAGGTCCACCCTGGACAGGGTTTGGTGAGAAAGAACTGTGTTTGAAGCACAGGTGAATCATGGGTTTAGAATATGATTTTTTTTCCCCCCAGATAGCTGGGGGTGGTAACCTTCTAAGAATGTCAAGAGAGGAGGAGCCCCACGGCCTGCCTGGCAGCCTGCTCCATCTTTAGTCTAGTGCAGGTGCAAGAGAAATTATACTTGGAACAAAGGTATGGAGTGATCTCGTTCCTTTCTCTAAATGGTGTAAAACTCTTCATCTGTCACTTGGGTATGCCTGCGGACAGGAAGTATATAAATTTAGAGAAGGAAAGGAAGACAAAAATGAAACCAGGAAAGAAGACAGGAACAAATATAAACTGTGTGTCTTGGTATGGCAATCCAATGCACACACGCATGCTGAGCTCACTACACAGACCTGTGTTCCACACCGCAGAGATACAAAGACAAGAACACCTGTCTCTACTTTAAAAAAAAAAATTATTAGAGAGACAGAGGACAAGATACAGAGAGAGCCTGTGAGAAAGGGAACTCGCATGAACTGCAATAGCTAGGGCTGGACCAGACTGAAGCCAGGAGTTGTAAAGTCAAACACAAGCGTGGAAGGGACCCAAGAACCCGAGCCATTAGCTGCTGCCTCCCATGGTCTGCACTAGCAAGAAGCTGGAATTGAGAGCTGGAGCCGGTACCTGAACCCAGGTGCTCTGCCACGGGGTGCAGATATCTTGGCCACTAGGTCAAACCGCTCTCTCCCCACTTCTCATAAGCATTCCGTCAACGTGTGACACAACTACTCCAACTTAGAATACGTATACAGTTACGTGTATTCACCTTTACGGTTTGGCTATCTGGACTTTAAGATCTGCTTCCTATTGTAGGTCCAAGGTCATTCATCCAGTTCCCTAGAGTCACGACACAATCGAACATGAAGGTGGGGAGGGTGTCAGCGCTGCTCTAGTCTAACCGTGTCGTAGTGAGATGAAGGGTTTAGGTGCCTGGTCAAATACACACAGGTGTCGGAAAAGACCAAATGTGGAGCGTGCGTCTTTGTACTCTTGGCAAAGTGTGTGTCAGCTCTTGCTGTCCTCCTTTGTAAATCAAAAGCCTTTTATTTTTTTTCACTCCCCTGTACGAGTCATAAGAAGTTTATTTTGAAGTGCTTTCAGTGCTTAGCTAAAATAGAACGTGACATGCTACATAAAAATATACCCACATAAAGTCTTAGGTCTTCCGGGGTCAAAAAGATCATCGACTGAGGTCACTCACCACTAGAGGGCGCTCAGATTTTCCCAGCTAATTTAAAGAGGCTTCCCATAATGCCTGCAAATAAATGTTATCAACACAATGGCATTTCCTACCAATGGTAACCAGCAAATGGCTCCTTTCCCAGAGCATTAAGCTGATACAAACATACTAGTTCTGGGCATAGGTGTCTAATTTATATACACTTACACGAACACACACATGTATACATGCCTTTGTGAATGGATGTAAACATAGAAACATTTGTTCTAATTCATCTATTCATAAGCTAAATGTATTTGCTACTTGTTAGTAAATATTTGTCATAATTAATGGTACGACTTTTAACGTATTGACCCTGAAGGCTGCTTGGTGACCGTGGGGAGCATTTCCGGGGGTTTACACCGGGAGCCCTGGAAATCCAGGCTCTCTACGGGCACCAAGCACTTCCTGGCTGTGTTATTATCACTATGAGAAAGCCTATTCCATATGCTTGAGGAAGTTAAAGTGACATATAGTAGGCATTCTTAACTACTGCCATAGCATCGTCCTGCCTGGAAAGAAAAAACAATTCTAGTAAGAATTGTCTTTGTATTTAAAAAAAATAAATAAAAAGTAGAGGTGTTTACAAGCCCCCTGCGCTCAGGCCGCCCTCTGGCTGACGATTCACACTCTGGATTCTTCCCTTTTCCTCCCCATGCCACTTACCTGCCACGCACTGTGGGAAACAGCACTGCAAAAGGATACATCTAACTCACTCTGGAAGAGAGAAAAGGAATGCGCGGGTGAGAAGCAGGCTCCGGGACAGGGTGCTCTGGGCAGAGTTAACTGCCGCTCCGGCCTCCCATGCTGGAGGCTGCTGGGAGAGGCAGCTGCTGTGTTTGCAGAAGCCTGATGGGCACAAGACCAAGTCTGGGGCTGTGATTAAAACAGGCTGCAGTGTAGACGACTGGTACGGGCTCTGGGGCCGGTTCCTCTGACTCAACCTCGACGGCTAGTAGGAAGCTAGGCATATGTATCAGAAACCTTACAGTGCTCCATACCCTTGGAATCCACTGATCTGACTCCCGGAAGCTTCTCCTAAGGAAATCTTTGCGCGATGGCCCAATAATGTGTGAGAGGATGCTCAGGTGATGGTGTTTATAATAGCAAAGTATTGATAATAACCTAAGCATCTATGGGGGGGGGGACTAGTTAAGTAAATTGTGGCCTGGAGCCTATCCACGTGGAAGGCTACGCATGTGGAAGTACTGACATGTTGCTAAGAAAGCAAGAGATGGGGTGAGCATATGGCTTAGCAATTAGGATGCCGCCCAGGATGCTCGCATTCCATATCACAGCGACTGCATCTGAGTCCCAGTTCCACTTCCCATCCCTACGCCTTTTATACACACGACATGAACATCTGTGGATTCTGATATCTGTGAGGGGGTCCTGGGACAAATCCCATCCCCCCACAACTGATACCAAGGAACAACTGTATACAGTATTCTCCCACATACCTATAGATATACAGAGTTAAAGATACATAAAGTGATACAGCTACTGGTACAGGTAGATATATGAAGTCTAAAAGGAAATATACCTAACAGTAGTTATGAATAAATGATGGGCTTAAAATAGATCTTTCCTCCATTTTCAAAAGTAAATACTTTAGGGTGGGTGTTGTGGTACAGTGGGTTAAGCCGTTGATTGGAATGCTTCCATCCCATATCAGAGTGCCTGATTTGAGGCACTCCTCTTTGGATCCAGCTTCCTGCTAATGCACCTGGGAGGCAGTAGATGATGGCCCAAGCACATGGGTTTCTACCACCCAGATGGAGCTCCTGGCTCCTGGCTTCAGCCTGGCCAACCTGTTTTGGGCATTTAGGGAGTGAACCAGGAGATAAAAGATTCTCTCTCTCTCTTTCTCTCTTCTTTATCACTCTGCCTTTCAAATAAATAAATAAATATTTTGAAGAAGCATTTTATTTTTTAGAGCAGCGTTAGTTCACAAAAAAATTGAAAGGACGGTAGATCCCCATTTGTTACAACTGATGGGCCGACATTTTCCTATTTCTCACCCTAAGCCCATGGTTTTATCTTTGAGTCCACTTTGGTGGGTGCATAACCTGTGGATTTGGAGAAATACATAGTGCACGTATCCACCTTCCCTTTTCTTTTGGCTTATAGGTATTTTAAATGTTTTTCAGTGAACATAGAAAATTAAACAGGGAGTGAGTCATAGAGGAAGAACAAAAGGAGAGAGAAGCAAGTTCATATTGGAAAGGATTTAAGGTGTCTGTAAAGCAGCAGCGAAAGCCCTGACACCGCTTCCCTCACCTCTTGCAAAGCTGCCTCCCTTGAAGCCAACTGGGCTGGCTTCCTGTCTTCAGAGCGTGATGCTACGATGCTTCTTGCAGCCCAGACAGCATGAGACTGAGCTCCAAATTTAAGATCTGGAAACTCTCTGGGATTAAAAATACCTCCATGAAGAATGCTTAAAACTCACAAATCTAAAAATAAGTCTTAGATGACAAGGCATTCTCCAGGAGCGGGCGGATCCTGTCGTCTTTCCCGTCGTTCCCTCTCCCCTCTTCCCCTGCCTCTTCTTTTTGCCATGGTTTGTTCCTAAACCAAGTCATCCCTTACTTAGTACAGGCCAAGTCCTGCGTAAGCACCTGGCTGAAACTGAATTCTAATCTTCACTTCTGTGGTTTCTGTGGTCACTGACTCGCTCCCTAAAATTACAGCTGTCACTCAGCAGCATGCTATTTCTTCTTAGTTACTGAATATAATAATAATAATTTCTTTAAAACCTTAGGAATGATGGTGCTTGTACCCACATTTTATTCTCCCAGGCTTCAAACATTGCTATTTGGGGAAATTATATTCTTCTTACCGGGTGTGCCCTTATCGTGGCCAGCTCTGAATGCAAACCCTGAGTGGCAACCAGTCCTTCGGAACAAGACAGTCACCACAGGACAAGCAACGAGTTCGAGCTATGCTGTCCAGTGGGGTAACCGCCAGCCACAGGCGGTGACTTACGTTTGAATTAATTACACTTAGCTAAAATGAAAAGTTCAATTCCTTGGTTACACAAACCACATTTCAGTGGCTCAAGAGCCACATGTGGCTGTCGTAGAGCATATAGGACAGCTCAGGTGTAGAACATTCCTCTCTCTGCAGAGTCTGATGGACTGTGCTGGTCTATGGTGCTATCTCCATCCATTCAACAGAGAACCAAATTTTAGTCTCAATGCCCTCTCTTCCCCCAAGGCCAGTCTCTGAAATGGCATGACCTCTTGACCTCTTCTAGCTTGCAAGGACACTGACCCCTTCCTGGATATATGCACTGCCGTGTTGCAGGCCCTAGGGCATTTGCCCCACTCCACCCCTGAACTAGCAGCATGGCCCTCACCGTGCACTAAGGTGGTGGTTCTCAGACGTAAGTATGCATCAGTATCACCTGAGAGGCTTGTTGAGACACAGATTCCTGGGCTTCAACCCAGAGTTTCTGATTCAGTGGCCTGGGTGGGGCCCAGAAGTTGTACTTCTAGCAAGTTCCCAGCTTATGCTGCTAACCCAGGAGCCAGACTTTGAGAACCACTAAGGCAAATATGGCAGCTTAGTTAATTGTCCCATGAAGAAGGAGTGGGCCAAAATTTGCTTCTACCATTAGGAGTTGGGCTGCAGATAAAAAAAAATTTTTTTTTAAGATTTATTTATTTGGGAGCTGGCATTGTGGCACAGTTGGTTAAACTGCTGCCTGAGATGCCAGCATCCCATAGGGGTGCCAGTTCAAGTCCTAGCTGCTCCACTTCCAATCCGGCTCCCTGCTAATGGCCTGGGAAAGCAGTGGAAGATGGCCAAAGCACTCCTGCACTCATGTGGGAGACTTGGAAGAGATCTGTCATCCCCTGGTTCACTCTCCAAATGGCCACAACGGCCTGGGGACTGGGCCAGGTTTAAGCCAGGAGCCAGAAACTCCATTTGGGTCTCCCACACAGTTGGGCCATCTTCTGCTGCTTTCCCCAGGTACATTAGCAGAGAGCTGGATCAGAAATGGAGCAGCTGGGAATTGAACTGGTGCTCATATGGGATGCCAGTGTCACAGGGAGTGATTAACTTGCTGAGCCACATGCTGGCTCCCCACACGAGTTTTGACAGAGCAGGTTTTAGCACACTCATTGTGGGGCAGATTCCATTTACTGCCTGGGAAAGAAAATCTTGGAAACAGGTCCTTTGTAATCCTTTTATTTAAAAGCAAAATAAAATAAACAAAACAACCTTGAATAATATACTAAGTTTGGGGCTGGCACTGTGATGCAGCAGGTTAAGCAGCTGCTGACAAAAGTGGCATCCATATGGCAGCGCCAGCTCAAGTCGCAGTGGCTCCCTTTTGATGCAGCTTCCTGCTAATGCCCCAGGGGGTGGCAGGTGATGACTCAAGTACTGGGGTCCCTGCCACCCATGTGGGAGATCCGGAGGGAGCTCTTGCCTCCTGGCTTTGGTCTAGCCCAGCCCTGGCTATTATGGGTATTTGAGGAGTATACCAGCAGATGGAAGCTTTCTCTCTCTCTCTCTCTCTTCTCTCTTTTTCTGTTGCTCTGCCTTTCAAAGAAACTTAAAAAGAATAAAAAAAGACTACATGTTATATATAACTCTGCTTATATGAACTGTCTAGAAAAGGCAAATCTACAGTGATTGAAAGTAGATTAATAGGGACCGGTGCGGTGGCAGAGTGGGCAAAGCCATCACCTGCACTGCCAGCATCCCATATGGGCACTGGTTCGAGTCCTGGCTATTCCACTTCTGATCCAGCTTCCTGCTAATGGCCTGAAAAAGGAATGGAGGATGACCCAAGTCCTTGGGCCCCTGTACCTTCATGGGAGACCTGGAAGAAGCTCCTGGCTCCTGGCTTTGGATTGGCTCAACTCTGGCCGTTGCAGCAATTTGGGGAGTGAACCAGCAGATGGAAGACCTTTCTCTCTGTGTCTCTCCCTCTTTTTGTCTGTAACTTTGCCTCTCAAATAAATAAATAAACCTTTAAAAAAAAAAAGTAGGTTAATGGTTCCCCAGGCCCTGGAACAGGTAGAGGGCTATAACTGGGGAAATATCAATGAGTAAGATGCCTCTTTGCCAGGGGATGAAACTTCCTAAAACTGACTGTGGCGATAGTTACACAACTGTATAAATATTAAAAAACTACTTATCTACTTTATATGGGTGAACTGTGTGGTATATCATTTACTTCAATACAGTTGTTGGGGCTGATGCTGTGGCGCAGCTGGTTAAACCTTGGCCGGGAGTGCTGGCATCCCATATGGGCACGGGTTCAAGTCCAGGCTGCTCTACTTCCGATCCAGCTCGCTGCTATGGCCTGGGAAAGCAGTAGAAGATGGCCCAAGTCCTTGGGCCCCTGCACCCACATGGGAAACCCAGAAGAAGCTCCTGGCTCCTGGCCTCAGATCGGTGCGGCTCTGGCCACTGCGGCCATCTGGGGAGAGAACCAGCAGACGAAAGACCTCTCTGTCTCTACCTCTCTCTGTAACTCTTTCAAATAAGTAAAATTAATCTTTTTTTTTAAAAAAAAATACAGTTGTTAAGATAAAAAAAAAACTATTGGAAAGGACTTCCCATATTCCTTGAAGAAAGTTTAAGTTTCAACCCTCAAAGTAAGGGTATGAATGGAAATGATTCTTAGAGTGAAAAGCATCCTGGCATCTTAGGAAGCAAAGCAGAGAGCAGAAAACAAGAGAAAGCAAGCTAGAGAGCAAAGTCTCAAAATTCAGCTGAGAGAAGTAAAAGGTTGCTACACTTGCAGTGCTGGTAGTTGGTAAAAACGTAAGGCACACAAAGGTTTGTAGCACTTTGGGTGGGCCCTTCCAGAGAAAGGTCCAGAAAATGTGGCATCGTTTGAATTTTCACTTTGACATGTGGAAGCTCTATATAAACGCATGTTCTTTTTTTTTTTTTTTTTAAGATTTATTTATTTATTTGAAAGGCAGAGTTACAGACAGGCAGAAGCAGAGAGAGAGGGAGGGAGGGAAGGAGAGAGAGAGGGGGAGATAGAGAGAGAGAGTGAGAGAGAGAGAGGTCTTCCATCTACTGGTTCATTTCCCAGATGGCCACTATGGTGGAAGCTGTGCCAACCCAAAGTCAGGAGCCAGGAGTCAGGAGCCTGGAGCCTTCTCCAGGCCTCCCACATGGGTGCAGGGGCCCAAGGACCAGGGCCATCCTCCACTGCCTTCCCAGGCCACAGCAGAGAGCTGGATCGGAAGTGGAGCAGCTGGGACTTGAACTGGCGCCCATGTGGGATGCCGGCGCTTCAGGAGGCGGCTTTACCTGCTACACCACAGCGCCAGTCTGTAAACACATGTTCTTGACCTAGATCCAAAGAGCCCCACTTTCTGGAAAACTGGGTGGGAGCAGGAAGCCGTGTTTCAGTCATTAAATAGACTTACCACTCGGCTGAAGTATTCATCTAAGACTTCCACAAAATTATGGATGAATTCATAAATCGCCATCTCGTTCTGAAACAAAAGAGGAGGGGTGCAGTGAATAGTGACACACAGCTGCCCAGCCATCCCAGGTGACAGTGCAGGGCTCAGTGCAGGGACAACGCCACGAGCAACACTGACAAGTACTCAGAACAGCTCTGCTCACGTGTTCTACGGGGAAATGCACTCACTGAAAACCTTAGCCTCGAAGATTTGTCTGAAGTCCACGACAAGTCCAGACTGTAGTTTTTTTTTTTGTTTTTTTTTTGTTTTGTTTTGTTTTGTTTTTTTTTTGACAGGCAGAGTGGATAGTGAGAGAGAGAGAGACAGAGAGAAAGGTCTTCCTTTGCCGTTGGTTCACCCTCCAAAGGCCGCACCACGCCGATCTGAAGCCAGGAGCCAGGAGCTTCTCCTGGTCTCCCATGGGGTGCAGGGCCCAAGGACTTGGGCCATCCTCCACTGCCTTCCCAGGCCACAGCAGAGAGCTGGCCTGGAAGAGGGGCAACCGAGAAAGAATCCGGCGCCCCGACCGGGACTAGAACCTGGTGTGCTGGCACCGCAGGCAGAGCATCAGCCTATTGAGCCGCGGCGCCAGCCCAGACTGTAGTATTTAGATTTCTGAGCCCAACCCTGACTCTATCACCAAGTGGCTTAAGCACATTTTTCAGGGTTATGCTATCCTTTTTCCATCTGGGAAAACCATTCAAATGGTTCCAATGGGGGAAATCATTTCAGTGTTTGGTTCATGGTTGAAAAACAATCAGCTGGGGGCTGGCGCTCTGGCGTAGTGGGTAAAGCTGCTGCCTGCAGTGCCGGCATCCAATATGGGTGCCAGTTTGTGTCCCGGTTGCTCCACTTCCAATCCAGCTCCCTGCTGATGGCCTGGGAAAGCAGCAAAGATGGCCCAAGTCCTTGGGCCCCTGCACCCACGTGGGAGATCTGGAGGAAATTCCTGGCTCCTGCCTTCAGCCTGACCCAGCCTCAGCTGTTGTGGCCTTTTGGGGAGTGAACCAGCAGATGGAGGGTCTCTCTCTGTGTCTCTCCCTCTCTCTCTATTGCTCTTTCAAATAAATAAATAAATAAATAAATAAATAAATCTTAAAAAAAAGAAAGAAAGAAAAACAAACAGCTGATGGGACCAGCGTTTGAGCCAGTGTTAAGACAGCTGCATCCCACATCTGGGTGCCTGCGTTCAATTCCAGCCTCCTGCCAACGCAGACCTTAGGGGCAGCAGTGATCACTAAAGTAACGAGGTTCCCATCTCCCACACAGCAGACCTGGATTAAGTTTCCAGCTCCCAGCTCCAGTTCCAACTCAGCTCCTGCCGTTGCAGGCTTGTGGGGAGTGAGACAGAAGATCAGAATTCTCTGTCTGTCTGTTATCTCTGCCTTTTAAACAAATAAGTAACTTGAGGTGAAAAAGTCAAAATAATTCTTAGGGAGACAAGTAGGAAGTCAATATCGGTTTCAGGAAGAATAAAAATCAGACTGTTACCCCTCAGGTCCGTCTGTTATCTTACCTCAGTGTCATTAACTCCAACCACAATGAAGAGAGCTGCATACTGCCGATAGATCAGCTTGAAATCCTTGTATTCAATAAAAGAGCACTAGACAAAACAAAGTCAGATATTCATTCTGTGGCCGACAGAGACTGCTCTAACATGGCATGTGCACCTGCTAGGTTGACCTGAATATCTGCCAGCTCTCGCTCTGAGGAATGCAACCCATTAGAAAGCCACGCAGCCCTCGCTGGCCTTCTCATAACATCGGAGACCACTTGCGAGCGTTTCTGGAGGGAGACGAGGAGAAGTCTTAGGGAAAAGTCCGAATGTCCCCATGGGTTCCCACCTGTGCTCCTTCTCTTTCTTTAGCTTGGCTCCGGGGGGAAGTAGAGGCAGCGCTAATGAATCAGTGCGTTTTAAACCACCTGCACTGTGAAGTCCTAAGCCTTTTTCCAGCTTCCCACATTCTGGTGGGAAGCAATGAGATATTCTCAATTTATATTCATTAATAGCGAGGAATCAAATACACATGACAGGTGTAAAAAAAAAATAAACAACTCAGTTGCTTTTTCCCAGACCCATGAAAGGAATCCGTGTAGATTCTTTCATAAATTATTTAAAGATAGCCTTTGTGTGGCAGATGCGAGACAAAATCTGCCCCTGTAGACACTGCTCCAGGTGAATTGATAACAAGCTTACTCCTGTGGAATGTGTGTGAGACCACTCCCCTCTCATTCAGTTCTCCTGAAGCCATTGTGCAAGGGTTAGGAGGCTGAAGGGACAGTGGTACTCTTCCCCTGAACTTCCGAGTGTGCCTGGCCAAATGCTAGCAAGCATGACGTGCATGCTTAGTGCCGGCATGTGCTGCTCTCGGGTGCCCAGGTGCATCTGGGAAGGAAGCTGCCAGATTTGACTATGAAATCCTTCCAAGGGAAAGCCATCTGATAATCGATAAAATGGAGGTGTCTGAGACTTTTATTTAAAAGTCGGGCAAAGGTAATAAGTACAAGCCCATTCTCCAGCTTTTGGCTCACTACAGAGCCAGTGTGACTCCTTTCTAAAAAAAAAATAAAAATAAAAATAAAAAATTATTGGCCGGCGCTGCTGCTCAATAGGCTAATCTTCTGGCTGCGGTGCCGGCACCCAGGGTTCTAGTCCCGGTTGAGGTGCTGGATCCTGTCCTGGTTGCTTCTCTTCCAGGCCAGCTCTCTGCTGTGGCCCGGGAGTGCAGTGAAGGATGGCCCAAGTGCTTGGGCCCTGCACCCCATGGGAGACCAGGAGAAGCACCTAGCTCCTGCCTTCGGATTAGCGCATTACGCCGGCCGCGGCGGCCATTGGAGGGTGAACCAACGGCAAAGGAAGACCTTTCTCTCTCTCTCTCTCTCTCTCTCTCTCACTGTCCACTCTGCCTGTCCAAAAAAAAAAAAAAAAAAAAAAAGCAGAAGAGCTGGGACTTGAACCTATGCTTCAGTACAGGATGTGGGCATCAGCGGAGGCTTTAACCTGCTGCATCACAATGCCGGCTCCTTAGCCAGTGTGATTTCTGCTCAGTTGGACATTTCAAAGAAATGCAAGCTACTTGAAGAACTGAGGAGAAACCTCTTTCAAAGACTTTCAGGAGTTTTTGATGTTTAAAAAAAAAAAAATCCAAGCACTTTTGTGGATAAAATGAAAACAAAGCTGATCTTACGCTGGGGGCGCGGTGCCTGATGAGGCCCAAGGTTCATTTTAAAATGTGAAATAACTTAGAATGATTCAGAACAATCTAATAATATGTGCAGTCCAAAGCTCGTGTTGCAAAGGCGCACCCATGAGCAAAAATCACAGCTGAGATGATGGGGTGCCTGCATCCTGTGGTGAGATTCCAACAGGAGCACGAGCTTCTGAAGGTGTGTGCGCCTAGGCTGATGCCTGTGGCTCAGTGCGCCGGATCAGCGTGGTGTCTCTTTCTGTCTGACGGCCACACAGGTAGAGTGCCGGGGCGGGCCGAAGTAGGAATTCAAAGAGGAACTCTGAGATGTTCCAACTGGCAAACCAATTTAGAAGCCAACTGAAACACGTTTCTAACGCGTCACTTCAGAGCACTGCCGTGGCTTGATAATGCAGCTTAGCGTGTTACCACAGAGCAGGGGTTCCTGTGGGCACTCCTCCACATAGGCTCTGAAATGACCAAAGGACAGCACAACTTAAGTGAGCTTTTTGGTTTTGCCTCAGTGAAGTGATTGCTGTGGATTGAAGTTTAGGACCTGGATGAAATAATTCTCTAATCAAAAGTATTTCATGGGGCTGCGCTGTGGCGTAGCAGGTAATGCCACTGCCTGAAACACTGGCATCTCACATGGGTGCTGGTTCAAAGTCCTGGCTGCTCCACTTCCTATCCAGCTCCCTGCTGATGCACCTGGGAAAGCAGCGGAAGATGGCCCAAGTGCTTGGCGCTCCTGCAGGGAGACCCAAAAGAAGCTCCTGGCTTTGGCCTGGCCCAGTTCTGGTCATTGTGGCCATTTGGGTAGTGAATCATTGGATGCAATCTCTCTCTCTCTCTGACTTTCAAATAAATAAAATATTTTTTAAAAAAAGTATTTCATAAAAATATACTCAGTTTTGAAAATTTCTATTTATTATTATTTTAATGATTTTATAACCCCCATTTTGGCAGGGTGGATAGATTTGTTATTTCAGATGAATTTTTAGTTCCCACTTCCCCATCTATATAATACATTGCAAGTTCAAATCAAATTTGTTTTGTTTTTAAAACAACAGTTCCAGTATTATGTTGGTGGTATCTTTACAAAAATGATAAGCAGAAAATAAACCTGGCAACCCACATGAGAATCCTATTATCCTCTTGTGGCACACAATGGGTCTTGGGGCCAGCACTGGGGCACAGCGGGTTAAGCTGCTGCTTGTGATGCTATTCCACATAAGCGCCAGTTTAAGTCCCAGCTGTTCCACTTCAGATTCAGCTGTCTGCTAATGTGCCCGGGAAAGCAGCAAAGGATGACCCAAGAACTTGGACCCCTGCCACTCATGTGGGAGACCCAGATGGAGTTCCAGGCTGTTGGCTTTGATTTGGTCCCACCCTAGCTGTTGCAGCTCTTTAGGGGAGTGAACCAGGGGATGCAAGATCACTCTCTGTCTCTGTCTCTGTCACTCTGCCATTGAAACGAACAAACAAATCTTAAAAAAAAAAAAAAAAATTGTTTTAAATGGTATTCACCTCCACACCAGCTGACCTGCATTTTTTGGCTCACAGAGGGCCACCTGCTACAGACACAGAGTTCCAAGGGCTGAATTCACATGAACAAAAAAAGAAGCTATGTCTGGGAGCAAGAATAAATTTAGCTGCTGCTTCCATGGTGTGTGCAGACAAACCTGCTGAGCTAAATAGCAACCCGGGACTCTTCCTGGTTTTCCTTGTTTGTATTGTTTTAAAGAGATTTAAAGAGAGCTTGGCTTCTATTGGCCGTCATTTCACTCATTCCTTACTTTCCCTAATGGTTGAAAGGAAAGAGTTAAAGGAAAATGGTGACCCTAGAGATTCAGTAATGACAGATCTGACAAGGCTGAGTTGAAGGCAGACAGACATAAGACAGACTCAGAAACTTACTTGTTCATTGGACCGTGACAGACAGCTTTTTATGACTTCTGTTTCCAGAAGTGTACGCTTATTAATCTCCACGTGTTCATAGTACTTGGAGAGCCGGGTCTGCCCTTGTTTATTCACCATGAGGAAAAACTTTATCATTTTTTTCTCCTGGCCAGTATTTTTCCAAATATTGTTATGGCAAAAGTTATGGCAAGGGATGGCAGTAACCGTACCCTGGAGGATAAGAGAACAATAAAAAAGCAAGATCAAATTTATCAGAGAATAACATTAATCTGTTCTACAGATGAACCAAAGTAAATAGAATCTTCACTCCTGTGAACCAAATGAGGTTTTAGTCAATGAGAAGCAAACATAAATTTCCCAAACAATTCTGGGAATCCACAGTACTTCTACTCATATTCATTCAATTTATTCCATCAGTTTGCCAAGCATCTAGCACCAGAAGAGTGTGGAAATGAAGGAATGGTTTCTCATCTTCTGACTTCTACGCTTTTAGCAAAGGTGCTAGATAGGTATAATAGTCAGCTTTTCATTACCACACCTGAAGCATCTGAGAAGCCAACTTAGAAAGCAAAGGTTCATTTCTGCTCACACTTTTGGAGGTTCACAGTCCAAGATCACATGGCCCCATTGGTTTGGTATCTGATGAGGGTGATGGATGGTGAGCCAGGAATCAGAGGCCTGACTCAAGCTTATGTATCTAACCCCTTCTCCAAGGGCATGCCCCCGACGACCTATGGACCTCATACAGAAGCCCACTCTAGATATCTTAATGGGATAAAATTTCCACCCTTAATCCATTAATGAGTAACATGAATCCAGGAACTACTAAGACAAGACACTGAAGATCAAGGCTTTAACGCATGGGTTTTTTGTTTGTTTGTTTGTTTGTTTTTTGCTATTATCCAAACCATAGCAATACATAAACAAGTAACAGTAAGGTGAACAGTAACTGCAAAAGGTTTACTTCTATGGTTCACAAAAGGGGGACAAGGACATCCTAGCAGAGGGGCACTTAAACAGGTCTTTTTTTTATTCTAAGATTTATTTATTTATTTGAAAGTCAGAGTTACACAGAGAAAGAAGGAGAGGCAGAGAGAGAAAGAGAGGTCTTCCATCCGATGGTTCATTCCCCAGATGGCTGCAACGGCCAGAGCTGCGCCGAACCCAAGCCAGGAGCCAGGAGCTTCTTCCAGGTCCCCCATGCAGGTACAGGGGCCCCAAGGACGTGGGCCATCTTCTACTGCTTTCCCAGGCCATAGCAGAAAGCCGGTTTAGAACCAGGACTTGAACCGGCGCCCATATGGGATGCCAGCACAGCACGCGGTGGCTTTACCTGCTATGCCACAACGTCAGCCCCTTAAACTAGAATGATCTGGAGGGAGAGACTCAGGGGCAGAGAAAACCAGGCTATCCAAGTTCTGGAAGGCTCAGTGTGGTTGCAGTTCAGGAGGCAGTAAGAGCAGTCATAAATTGGCTTTGGAAGTCACATTAAGGGTCCGGCGCTGTGGCGTAGAGGGTAAAGCCACTGCATGCAGTGCTGGCATCCTATATGGGTGCTGGTTTGAGTCCCGACTGCTCCATTTCCAATCCAGCCCCTGCTATGGCCTGGAAAAGCAGTAGAGGATGGCTCAAGTCCTTGGGCCCCTGTACCCGAATGGGAGGACCTGGAAGAAGCTCCTGGCTCCTGACTGCGGATTGGTGCAGCTCTGGCTGTTTTGGCCATTTAGGGAGTGAACCAGTGGATGGAAAACTTTCTCTCTCTGCCTCTGCCTCTCTGTAACTCTGCTTTTCAAGTAAATAAGTATAATTTTTTTTAAAAGAAGTCATACTAAGGAATTGGAACTTTTCTCTATAGGCAATGGAGGCAAGATATATGAAGCTTTTCCTTCCTTAGTGGTGGAAATAGGATTAGTAATATCAAGGACTTGTCAAAGTCCTTGAACAAGGCCCCATAACAAGACCTAAAGGTCCTTTGCTAAACACTGTACATATATCATGAATTATAAAAATTTTCAAGATATTTATTTACTTATTTTTATTTTTAGGCAGAATGACATAGAGTGACAAAGATTTTTTCATCTGTTGGTTCACTCCCCACACCCGCAAAAGCCAGAGCTGGGCTAGACCAAAGCTGGGAATGGAACTTAATGCAGGTCTCCCACGTGGGGAGCACGGACCCAATTACCCTAGCCATCACTGCTGCCTCGCAAGGTCTGCAGTAACAGGAAGCTGAGTCTGGAGTCACAGCCAGGGACTGAGCCCAGGTATTCCAACGTGGGATACGGGAGTCTTAACTGGCATTGTGACTGCTAAGCTAAATGCCTGCCCCAATTCTCAGGATTCTTTGAGGCAGGTTCTTTTGTTATCCTTACTTTAAAGTCCAGCAAAATAAAGCTTAGGAATGTTAACTAGACAACAAAGGTTACTGCATTACTTTGTGTCAGCTGCAGCTCAGACGCCCAGCATATGCAGGGACCTATGACACCCCTAGACTCACTCTCCTCATTCAGCAGCTCATGCTTGTGGTTTAATTTTTTTTTAATGTTTATTTTTTTGAGGGGCAGAGTGAGAGAGACTGACAGAGACAGAAAAATCTTCTATCCACTGGTTCACCCTCCAAATAAGAGCTAGGCCTTGACTAGAGTGACGCTGACAGCCTGGAGCTCCATCCAGGTCGCCTACATAGCAGGCAGGGTCTCAAGTACTTGAGTTATCATCTGCTGTCTCCCAGGGTGTGCATTAGCAGGAAGCTGGATCAGAAGTGGAGCAGCCAGGAATTGAATCAGGAACTCCAATATTGCCTGCGGGCATCCAAGCAGTGGCTTAACCCTGTGCCACAATACCCACCTCATGTGGTTTAATTTCTCACTCAGTTGTACTGAATCTTGTGTTTGCTCCTCTTACACTCAATAGAGGTTTTGAAATAATCAATACAAAAGAGCACGATATTGACCAATGGGCATTTCTTCTTTCATCAGAGCTGGCTTGGTGGTTCCTCTGACAATATCATATTGACACTTCATAATATTTGTGAAAATCAGTGCAAAAGACCAGAGTTAACAACAATTATTAAGTGAATTTTAGAATTTGGAAAATTTTTAGAATTATATAAAAGTTGTAATAATAGCCATTGGCAGCATTTCACATCATCATGGTATATTTGTCAAAACAAAGAAATTCGTATGGGTACATTATTATTAACTCAATTCCAGGCTGTATTTGGAATTCATCAGTCATTCCTTTATGTCTTTTATTTTTTTCGAGAATTCTATCCAGGGCACCACATTGCATTTAGTTGTCATGTTTCTTTAGTTTCTTCTGGTCTGTGAATTTCTTAGTCTTTCCTTGTTTTTATGACCTTGACAGCTTTTTTTTTTAAGTTTTTTTTTTTTTGAAAAGCAGAGTTACAGAAAGGAAGAGACAGAGAGTTCTTCCATCAGCTAGTGTACCCTTCAAATGGCAGCAATGGCCAGGGCTGGGCCAGACTGAAGCCAGGAGCTTCTTTAGGTCTCCCCCGTGGATACAGGGGCCCAAGCACTTGAGCCATCTTCTGCCGCTTTCCCAGATGCATTACCAGGGAGCTGGATTGGAAAAGGAGCAGTCAGGACTCAAACTGGCTTCCCATATCGCTGGAGTCACAGGTGGCGACTTTACTCACTACACCACAGCTCCGGGCCCGACCCTGACAGTCTTAAGGATACTGGCCAGGTATCACGTAGGATTTGGGCTTGTCTGACTCTTCTTAATGAGTAGACTTTTGAAAAAAAAAAAAAAAATCTTAGCTGGGCAGGTGCTTGGTACAGCAGTTAAGCTGCTGTGTGGCACATACCACTGCATCCCATATTGGAGTTCCTGGGTTCAAGTCCAAGCTCCATTCTCCATCCCAGCTTTTTGCTGATGTGCACTCTGGGACACAGCAGGTGAAGGCTCAAGTATTTGGGTCCCTGCCACCCACCTAGGAGACCCAGAGTTCCTGGCTCCTGGCTCCTGGCTTCAGCCTGGCCTATCCCGGGCTGTTGTGGGAATTTGGGGCATGAATCAGCAGATGGGAGATCTTTGTCTGCCCTTCAAAACAAACAAGCAAACAAACATAGACGTGAAGTACTCTTTTCCTCACATCATATCAGGGGATACCTGATATCCACATGACGTCACTGGGGATGTTAAAGGGTAACAAGTTGGGTTTTCCTGTTTAAAAATACATTAAAGACCCTTAATTACTGATGCTTCTCTTGCCACTCATAAAATAGATTTAAGCTTTGATTTTTTTCCCACACCAATTTGTTGTGAGCGTTAATATGCTTCTTACATAAATTCCTAGTGAATTCTCACTGCCTGCTGTCAGGCAGCCCATTTGAGTTCATGAACTTCAGTGACCTCTCATCTGTAATATGAGTGCATTAAACCAAAATACAGAGAGAGGCCTCTGAGAATACAAAGAAAAAGTATGTACTCAAATGTTATAAAAAGAAACCTTCAGAGTATCCACAGACTTCCTTGACACCTACACAGGGGTCCAGGTTGAGAACCCTGAGCAGGATGAATTTTAATGTCCTTTAAAAATAAACTGACTTGGACATCGGGTACAGCAATTGAGTGGTTGCCTGGGACGCATGCATCCCACATCAGAGGGCCTGGTTGGAGTCCTACCTCCTCCAGTTCCAACCCAACTTCCTGCTGATGCACACCTTGGGAGGCAGAAGTACTTGGGCCCCTGCCACCCACATGGGAGACCCAGACTCAGTTACAGGCTCCTGGCTTGGGTTTGGCCCAGCCTTGGCTGTTACGGGTATTTGGGAAGCATTCTTTCCCTCTGTCTTTCAAATAAAATGAAAATTAAATAAGTAGATAAATAAACAGACTTCTTGGATTTTTTTTCCTGTTTTTCTCAATCATTTTATCACTACTTGGTGTGTATGAAACGTAGTATCCTTGAATTTAGAACAAATGAATATAATGGTGCAGCATGAATGTGGCATATAGATCAGTCTGAATTCTTCGTTAAAAATCTGATATTGATGTCAGAGAGCACATAAAAAAGTTAGTGGGAAAAATGGAACTAGAAGACACATTTATTTTGGTGCCTGCAATTTGGAAATCCATGCATGGTTTTTTCATAATACACATTTTCCACAACATTTCGGAAGACCCTGTGTATACCCACTACTTGTTCACCACTATTTGCTGTCACTCTCAGCAGCTGCAGTCAC